GAAGAGCAACAAAGTCAACATGACAAAACTGACAATCAAAGTGCTTTAGAAGCAGCTAATGGGATTGGTCAGAGTCAAACCGAGAATGTAAATGCTCAACCTATTACCCTGCGTAGGTCGCAACGGCAAAGATCTTAACCAGACAGATACCTTGGTATTGTCTTAACCGGAGATCAAGACATCCTAGTTATGGATGGAGATGAGCCAGCGACATACAAACAAGCTATGAAGAGCCCCGACTCTGCTAAATGGCAAGAAGCCATGAGATCCGAGATGGACTCCATGTCTGAAAATCAAGTATGGGACTTGGTTAATTTTCCCGAAGGTTACACACCTATCGGTTGCAAATGGATTTTCAAATTGAAAACAGACAAAGATGGAGATGGAAAGGTATCTATATACAAAGCTAGACTGGTGGCAAAAGGTTACAGGCAAATTCAAGGAATTGATTATGATGAAACCTTCTCACCAGTTGCAATGCTTAAGTCTGTCCGGATCATCCTAGCTATTGCTGCCTATTACAATTATGAAATATGGCAAATGGATGTCAAAAGCGCCTTCCTTATGGGATTTTTAAAGAAATTGTGTATATGACACAGCCGGAAGGTTTTGTTGATCCAAGAAATAGTGGAAAGGTATGCAAGCTTAAGAAGTCCATTTATGGACTGAAGCAGGCAAGCAGAAGTTGGAATCTGCGATTCGATGAAGCCATTAGCAAATTTAGTTTTATCAAGAATCTAGATGAGTCTTGTGTATACAAGAAGGTCAGTGGGAGTGACATCTCCTTCCTAGTCTTATATGTCGATGACATACTACTCATTGGAAACAGCACCAAACTATTGGAGTCCGTAAAGGACTGGTTGAGAAAGTGTTTTTCAATGAAGGACTTGGGAGAGGCACAGTACATATAAGGGATCAAGATCTACAGGGATAGATCTAAGAGAATGATTGGATTGAGCCAAAGTACTTATATAGATAAGGTACTGGCATGATTCAACATGGAAGGGGCCAAAAGAGAGCACCTACCCATGTCCCATGGAATAACTCTCAGCAAGAAACAGTGTCCACAGACACCTGGTGAGCGAGAGAGAATGAGTCAGATTCCATATGCTTCCCTTATTGGATCGATCATGTATGTCATGATATGTACTAGGCCGGATGAATCGTATGCCTTGAGTGCTACGACCCGATACCAATCAGACCCAGGAGGGGCGCATTGGACCGCGGCCAAGAATATCCTAAAGTACCTGAAAAGGAACAAGGATAAATTTCTGGTCTATGGTGGCTGTAAAGAGTTGGTTGTTGAAGGTTACACTGATGCAAGCTTCCAGACCGACAGAGATGACTCCAAATCACAGTCGGGGTACATATTCTGCCTTAATGAAGGAGCGTTTAGTTGGAAGAGTGCAAAGCAAAGCATTATTGCAGATTCTACGACTGAAGCCGAATACCTGGCAGCTTTAGAATCAGCTAAGGAGGCAGTTTGGATTCGCAATTTCATTGGAGAACTTGGTGTTGTACCCTCGATTAAGGGTCCAATAGATCTTTATTGTGACAACAATGGAACTATTGCTCGGGCCAGGGAACTAAGGGAACATAAGAAGGTCAAACATGTCAAGCGCCGATTTCACATGATAAGGGAATGGAAATCCGAGGGTGAAATCAGAATTTGTAAGATAGGAACGGACGACAATGTAGCCGATCCTTTGACTAAACCTTTGCCTCAAGAGAAGCACAAAAAGCACATTGAGGAAATGGGAATCATGCAAGCTCACTCGCTGTATAAATGTTTTAATTAATGCTAGTTGTCTTAATGTAAAACTCGATGTCAAAAACCATTTAATTTTGGAGAAATCAAATTTTATGCAAATTTATGATCACTCCATATCTATTTAATTGTGGTTTAGAATTAAATAATGTGTCCATTCGATTTATGAGAATATTCAAAACAGGGTATCAAGACCATATCTTGGATAAAGAAACACCTGTTAAGTGAACATTGAATATTTAATCAAAAATAATCCCTAATCAAGGTCATTTAAAAGATGGACGACTAATGACCGCTTGAGATTATTGTGTAGTATGATTTATAGCACCGTTTCTTGTGCTACGAGGACGTGATAGTCATAAATCACTTGCACGGTACTAGTTTAGAACTGTGCCGGACTGAACCCTTCGGGTCGAACCCAATCGAATAACCGATCCGATACAACGAATCAATCCGAAGGATTTAATGAGTCGTCTGAGTTTTACGAACAAAGACGTCAGACATCGAGCTTAGAGCGTCGAGACCGAGCGTCGCAAGTCGAGTCGAATTTAGAATTCGACAAAGACGAAAAATCAATCAATATCAAGTTAGACCGTAGCCACGAAATTGGCCTAGCCATTCATGAGCTAGGCTAACTCAAGCAAGCACCATATCGCAAGCCTAACACGCATCACAAGGCTGGCCCTTGCTACCGTGCTAGGCGCTGCTGCCCAAGCTGCCCAGCAGCCATCGCAAGGCTTGGCCCTCCTACCTTGCTAGGCGCTGGCGCACAGCCAGCCCAGCAGCCATCGCAAGGCCTGCCCTTGCTAGCTAGCAAGGCGCTGGCGCTCAACAAGGCCCAGCAGCCATCGCAAGCCTCGCAGCAATGCAGGATTGCTAAGCGTGCTGGTGCCTAGCATCGCAGCCATGCACCATCGCAGGCCAGGCCAGCGTGCGTGTGCATGAGCGTGCTGGGCATCGCAGCCATGCACCATCACTGGCCAGGCCAGCATGCCTGTGCATGTGCGTGCTGGGCATTGCAGCCATGCACCATCGCTGGCCAGGCCAGCGTGTGCGTGCTAGGCACCAAGCACCATCGCTGGGCCAGTGCCTATGCGTGTCCGTGCTAGGCACCAAGCATCATCGCTGGGCCAGTGCCATTGCATGTGCGTGTGTGCTGGGCACCAAGCACCATCGCAGCATAGGCTTATGCGTGCGAGTGCGTATGGCATGCCCAGCAATGGCGTGCCCAGCGTAGCACGCCATGCCTAGCAGCAGCGCCAGGCATGCGTGGCTAGCTAGCAGCACGCATGCGCTGGCTAGCTAGGTTGTGCGAGCTGGGTGCCTGGCTGGCCAGGCTGCCCAGCCTTGGTGCTAGGCGCCAGTTGGCAGCCAAGGCAGGCTGCCAGCCAGCCCTTGGCTTGGTGGCATGCCATGGTTAAAGTGGGGACCAAGGCATATTAAATGCCTTGGTGAGTAAGGTGTTTTGGTCCCCCCTTTGGGGTGGTCCTCACCATCTCTCTTCCTCCATGTGACAAGTGTTGCTTTGTGATTGATTTGAAAAATTATGAAATTCTCCCACATTGATCATGAATGGGAGTTCAAGGTTCATTTCCCTATAAATACCAAGGTTTTGGCATTTTGGAAGAACACTTGAGTTGAACTAGAAAGGGATCTCCTAAGAAAGTGAGAAAACCTTAAGTTCGTAAAACTCTAGTTTTTATTGGTCGGGTCCTGATAAGCCTTCTTATCATGGGTTGAGAGAAGCATTTTAGGGTGTGTTTTGATGCGTTACATGAGCTTTTATTAGTTTTTTGTGAGTTTTGACTCGTTGTCCCACTTGTGTGCAAAAGAGAGGAATTATGAGTGTTCGTGGGTGAGTTGAGTTTCGGAACCAATGAAGAGTTATATAAGAAGGATGGACCTTGGATGGTAATTTGAGAGTTGTGATGAAGCATGGAAGGGCAAGGAAGAAAGCTTGAAGAAGAGGTGAAGCAAAGCAAGAAGAAGAGGCAAGGAAAGGAGGCAAAAAGCAGAGAACCGCTGCCAGGGCCGCTTGCAGCTGGCCAGAGCCGCTGGCAGCGGTGCAGCCAGAGGAAGAAGAGCGTAGCTGCTGCCTTAGCCGCTGCCAGCTGCTCCATTCCCGCTGGCAGTGACACTCCCAGAAATCCGAAGGTTTTGGTACTTTTTCAGCAATTTTGACTTTGTTTTTGCCCGTGTTTGGATATTATTTTAGTATTATTATTGTATTTTATTAGAGAAATAAGAGGAAACATATAAATATCTTAGTTTCATTAGGTTATTAGTTAGTTTTTGAGAATTAAGCTTGGATAATTAAAGAGCTCTAGGGTTTTTTGAACAATTTTCAGAAAATCTTTGATTGAGAATTGAAATCCATGGAAGCTTAATCTTCCGGATTCTTGGTTAAAGATTGAAGCTTTTGGCTACGGGTTGTGAGATTTCTCTTCTCTTAATATCTATTGAATGTTTATTATTCCTTGAATTATTTTATGATTTGCTTTAATCAATTGCTAGGTTAGAATTATTGGATTCGCTTGCATCTAATTAATCTTTCCAAAGTAGCAATTTTAGGTTATTGATGCATGCTTTTGGTTGATAACTTGAAGAGGGAATAATATTATTGAAGAAATTAGACCGCTTGTGTTAATTTATTCAACCCTTGTTGATTTCTCCGTTTATGTTCTTCTTGTGGATAATTTAGAGCGCTTGTCTTGAATTGTGCATTGGAAAGGGTTAGAAAGGAGCGCTTTGCTATTTCTAACTAATTTATGAGAATATATAATCTAGGAATTCTACAACAAGGTGTTCAATAGTGTTTGATTGAAGAGGCTTCTATGATCAATTTGTATGTTCATTAGTGGATTTCGCATAACCAAGACCGTTCCTCTCATTGATTTCCTATTCATTACATTCATTGTTCTTGTTTAGCTCATTAGACATTCATTGACCGCAAAAAACCCCCATTGTTACTTAGGTTATTACTTCCCTAGAATAATTCTATTTAGGATTCCAATTATTAGGTCCCTTCTCCCTGTGGATTCGAACTCGACTTCCCTAGCTACATTTAATTGAATTTAGTTTAGTTGTGATATTTTTGGTTCCATACGACTGAGGCACACCAAATTTTGGCGTCGTTGCCGAGGAATAAGGCGTTACTTTTTAATTGTTTATCTGTATAGGATTTATTTTAGGATTGGTTCTTGGCTACTTTGTTTGTTTGTTTTTCTTGGGTATGATAAATACCCGTTCTGCTAACAAAGAAGTTTTGCAGTTAAACCCAGAAATAGAAAGAATTATTTCCAGGTTGCGAAAAGAGGCAAGAACAACCCCCAGTGAATCAACATACACCTTCAATATTCAAGAAGAAGAGGAGATGGCTGACAATCAAAATCTAAGAGAGCTCACAGCTCCCAACTTGAACCAACAACCGTTGTGCATTGCATATCAGCAGTTGGAGGAAGGTACTAATGTTGAAATCAAATCCGGTCTAATTCATCTATTGCCGGCATTCCATGGCATGAAAGGTGAAGATCCGAATAAACATCTGGCAGAATTTCATGTGGTATGCACTAGCATGAAACCGATTGGAATGACTGATGAGCAAATTCAGTTGAGAGCATTTCCTTTTTCTCTCAAGGATGCAGCAAAGGATTGGTTTTATTATCTTCCCCCAGGTAGCATAACAGCTTGGGCAGATTTAAAGAAGTGTTTCCTTGAGAAGTACTACCCAGCCACTATTTCTGCAAGCCTTAAAAAAGCTATCAGCAATGTGGATCAGAAGGAAGATGAATCGTTGTATGAGTATTGGGAGAGATTTAAGAGATTGTGTGCTAGTTGTCCTTACCATGGCGGAGACCTCATCCTATACTTCTATGGAGGTCTAACCGATGATGACTTGAGGATGGTGAATGCAGCAAGTGGAGGAGGGCTAGTAAATAAGACTCCAGGAGATGCAACTAGGTTGATTGCAGCAGAGAACTCTAGGCAATTCAGTCAGAGAACTCCCACGCGCCGAGTGAATGCAGCAAACTCCAATACCACTGAGTTAGAAAGTCAAGTAGCTGATTTGACCTCTATGATGCGTGAGTTCATGGTGAACTCAAGGAATCCGCAGCAACTGAATGCTTGTGGTATATGCACCTCCATGGGACATCCCACTGATGCATGTCCTACATTACAAGAGGAGCAAAATGAGCAAGCAAATGCAATGGGTTTCCAAGGGCAAGGTCCTCAGAGAAGATATGATCCCTATTCAAATACATACAACCCGGGATGGAGGGATCATCCAAATTTAAGATATGGGAATATCCAAGGAAACCAACAACATCAAAATTCTCAAGGCCAACAACAGTTTCAGCAATATAGGGCACCATTCCCAAAACCTCAAGGCCAAAGCTCAAATTCAGGTAATATGTCAACTGAAGAAATGATTAGATCACTAACTTCTAATGTTTCTACTATGCAGCAAAATATGATGCAATTTCAACAAGAAACCAAATCAAGTATTCAGAATTTGGAAAATCAAGTTAGTCAAATCTCAAGTGCGGTGAGCAGACTTGAAGCTAAGGATTCGGGAAAACATCCATCTCAAACGGAGTTGAACCTAAGCAACAGGTCAACGCAATAACATTGAGAAGTGGCAAAGAGTTGCAACAGACTGTAATTGCAACTAAGAGGGCTAAAGACTTGATTGGAGTTGAAGAGGAGGAAGTAGAATAAGAAACTGAGGCGAATCCGCCAACCTTTCCCTCTTGTGAGCCTGTGCCACCTTTCCCTGAAGCCTTGCAAGATACTCGAAGGTATGAGAAAGACAAGGATATTTATGAGACTTTCAGCAAATGTGAGGTAAATATGCCCCTCTTGAATGTGATTAAAAGTATTCCTCGTTTTGCTAAGTTTATGAAAGAACTGTGCACTATCAAGAGAAAGCACAGGTTGGGAGGAAAGGAAAAAGTGAAGGTGAGTGCTCATGTTACTGCAGTCTTCCAAAAGAAGCTCCCTGAAAAATGCAGTGATCCTGGTATGTTTACTATTCCAGTTACAATAGGAGACACCACATTGCACCGAGCCATGTTGGACCTAGGTGCATCAATCAATGTTATTCCCTATTCCTTGTTTAGATCTTTGGAACTTGGACCTTTACATGAAACTGGGGTAGTGATTCAGTTAGCTGATAGGTCTAATGTGTATCCTAAGGGGGTGGTGGAAGATGTGTTGGTTAAGGTTGATGGATTGATTTTTCCTGCTGATTTCTATGTGCTTGACATGGAAAATGACCAACAAGCAGTTCCTATCTTGTTAGGAAGACCTTTCTTGAAAACTGCTAAGACAAAAATCGATGTGTCTACTGGTTCCTTGACTATGGAGGTTGATGGGAAAGCAATTGGGTATAACATTTATGATTCCATAAAGTATCCTGTCAACACTCATTCTTTATGTTCTCTTAATGTTGTCGATCCAATGGTGCATGATGTTCCTAACAATGATCGTGGGGATGAGTTCCTCACACCTATAACTAATGTTGTATCTGGTGATTGCTTGGATTTCTCTATGCCTACTAATGTGCAGGTGAAGGTGGGGGAATTGAATGAACATTCCAAGCTTCCACCTATACCACCAGGTTCAACAATCGGCCCGTCTGCAATTCCGGGCAAGAAATTGTCCCATTTATACCACAAAGCAAAGAATAGGTTGTGGCATGACAAGATGATTGCTAGGAAGAAGGTTAAAGTCGGTGAAAAAGTCCTCCTATACAAATCCCGACTCAAATTATTTCCTGATAAACTCCGCTCCCGTTGGGAGGGTCCATTTCAAGTTGTCAAGGTCTATCCGCATGGAGCGGTGGAAATTCGGAGTCTTGAGTCCAACAACGTGTTCAAAGTGAATGGACAAAGGCTCAAACCATACTTCGAAGGGTTCAAGGTCGAGAATGTGGAGAGCATCGATCTCTACGAGCCATCAATGGAGTAGCGAAGTGGGATGAGCCGCGTCGAGCCAACGACGTAAAACAAAGGCGCTAATCGGGAGGCAACCCGAGAGAAAACCCTTTCCCCGTTTTCTCGTAGTTTAGTTTTCTTTATTTTTCTTGTGATGTGAAGAGTATTTTTATTGTGTTTGTGCAGGTGGATGCCTTGGGAGTGTTTGTTATGCGCGAAGAGCAGCTAAAACAGCCAAAAAACAGACCAAGGGGGGCTTTCCCTGCAGGAGCCGCTGGCAGCTGCTCTGCAGCCGCTACCAGCGGTTCTCCCAGCAGCACCAAACCCCCTTTGTCTGCCCCAGCCGCTGGTAGCGGGTCTGGTGCCGCTGCCAACGGGTCCCTCTTAGCAAAAAAAAAATAAAAAAATAAATAAAAAAAAAAATAATTTTTTTTTTCAGCAACCGCTGGCAGCGGGTCCCAAACCACTGCCAGCGGGTCTCCAGCGCCCCAAACTCAAAGCTGTTGCCTGAGCCGCTGGCAGCGGGCCCCAAGCCGCTACCAGCGGCGTTCCCAGCATACCCCTGAATTTTTCACCCTTTCTTGATTTCTAAAACCCAATTCATCCTTCTTCTCTGTCCCTTAGCAATCCCACACTCATACTCCCAATTCCGAACCTAGTCTTTCCCACACACAATCTTTTCCCTTCTTTCCCCAATTCAATCCTCATTACAGATTTTCCTAAACTCAAACCCCTTTCACTCCCTTCTCTCTCCTCAAGCATTTCCCTCACTCAAATAGCAACCCAAACCCTCACCTCTTCAAACTTTCACAAATTGCCATCCTCACTCTCAATCTCAAATTAAACCTAAGTTTTGCTCACTCAATTGTTTTCAATTTGGAAATTGGGATAGTTGTGAGAAGTTGAAAGCTTGAAGTGTATTCATTGAAGTGTGAAGGAGAAGGAGCATAGGTTGGAAAGCACTCATACTAGCAATGGGAAGAGATAACAAAAGGTCCAAAACCTCTTCTCCCACAAGAGTACCGAGGGGTAGGAAGCAAGGGAGCACCTCAAGGGAGGGTGAATCACCCTCTTTTCCCCACGCAAGTGGCTTCATGGGTATTAGGCTCACTACAAAGGAGAGAGCTATATGAACTCCAGCAACCCAAGAGAATGGTGCAATGCACAAAGTTCTTCGATTTGGAGGCTTTTCAAGAGGTTGGTTTGGAGGAGGTGATGAGGCAATTGTTCCGGAAGGTAGGAATCGAGGGATTCTTGAGCAAGAGCGCACCTACTTATGTGAGAAATGCTTTTGGTTGGCATGATCTTCCCATGGGCAACACTTGGGGTCCCCATTGTTCATTTTTCTTCTCGAAATTTTTGAAATTCTTGATGATGCCGGTCCTTCCGGCTCCAGAGGTCCTTCTCCTTGAGGTTTTGCATCCTTCTTCCTTTCCCATACTTTTGTTTTATTTGTTGTTGTTCTTGCATTGAGGAGAATGTTTCATTCAAGTAGGGGGGGAAGCAATTCTTGCATATCTTTGAAATTTGTATAGTTATCTTAATTTGATGGTTTTGTATAGCTATTGCAATTGTATTTCAATGAAAAAATGCAAAATGAAAACAAATGAAAAATGAAAAGAAAAAAAAAGGAAAAAAAAAGGAAAAGAAACCCGCTAAGTCGAAAACCTGTAAAGGAGGCTTAGGCAAAAATGGGGGCCCGGTTAGGTTGAAAACCCGAAAGGGCAACCTAAGCAAAAAAGTGGCTAATGAGCGAGTGAGGTAGTGAGATTTGGAAAAAGAAGAGAGGCTAGGATGAAAACCCGAAAGGGCTCCTAGGCAAAATGAGAGAAAAGAGAGAAAAGTTCGTGAATTTGAATTTGAAATCAAGAAATTTTCGCATCTATTTGCCGGAGTCGGTGTCATAAGGGGAGGAGATATATGGAGGTGTCGGGTAGGTTTCATCTTGGTGATTTTGGGAGTTAGTTGATTTTGGGGGAAGTGTTGGTCATCTTTAGAATTAAAGGAGCGAGAGTTGTTTTTTCTTGACTTTTGGATGTGGAAGTGTATTTATGAATTTTTGGTTAAGTTGAGTTCTTGTTTGCCCAATTTTATCAAAATTTTCATTTCTTAATGTGCTTGAGAATATTCCTACTCTTGGCTTTGCGTTTATCGTTCTAAGTTGATTTTGGGGATGAGTTGAAATGAGAAAAAGGGAGATTCGAAGTGTGAAGTGTGAATGTGATTAATTGGTGGTTGCTAAAATGTTTTGTTGAGTTTAAGTGCGTGGAGCTTATTAAATTTCACCATCTTCTGTTTTGAGCCTTAATGAGGAGAATGTGTTTCCTAAGTTTACTCGAGGACGAGTAAAGGTTCAAGCATGGGGGAATTTGATAAGCCTTCTTATCATGGGTTGAGAGAAGCATTTTAGGGTGTGTTTTGATGCGTTACATGAGCTTTTATTAGTTTTTGTGAGTTTTGACTCGTTGTCCCACTTGTGTGCAAAAGAGAGGAATTATGAGTTTTCGTGGGTGAGTTGAGTTTCGGAACCAATGAAGAGTTATGTAAGAAGGATGGACCTTGGATGGTAATTTGAGAGTTGTGATGAAGCATGGAAGGGCAAGGAAGAAAGCGTGAAGAAGAGGTGAAGCAAAGCAAGAAGAAGAGGCAAGGAAAGGAGGCAAAAAGCAAAGAACCGCTGCCAGGGCCGCTGGCAGCGGTGCAGCCAGAGGAAGAAGAGCGTAGCTGCTGCCTTAGCCGCTGCCAGCTGCTCCATTCCCGCTGGCAGCGGCACTCCCAGAAATCCGAAGGTTTTGGTACTTTTTCAGCAATTTTGGCTTTGTTTTAGCCCGTGTTTGGATATTATTTTAGTATTATTATTGTATTTTATTAGAGAAATAAGAGGAAAAATATAAATAGCTTAGTTTAATTAGGTTATTAGTTAGTTTTTGAGAATTAAGCTTGGATAATTAAAGAGCTCTAGGGTTTTTTGAACAATTTTCAGAAAATCTTTGATTGAGAATTGAAATCCATGGAAGCTTAATCTTCCGGATTCTTGGTTAAAGATTGAAGTTTTTGGCTACGGATTGTGAGATTTCTCTTCTCTTAATATCTATTGAATGTTTATTATTCCTTGAATTATTTTATGATTTGCTTTAATCAATTGCTAGGTTAGAATTATTGGATTCGCTTGCATCTAATTAATCTTTCCAAAGTAGCAATTTTAGGTTATTGATGCATGCTTTTGGTTGATAACTTGAAGAGGGAATAATATTATTGAAGAAATTAGACCGCTTGTGTTAATTTATTCAATCCTTGTTGATTTCTCCGTTTATGTTCTTCTTGTGGATAATTTAGAGCGCTTGTCTTGAATTGTGCATTAGAAAGGGTTAGAAAGGAGCGCTTTGCTATTTCTAACTAATTTATGAGAATATAGAATCTAGGAATTCTACAACAAGGTGTTCAATAGTGTTTGATTGAAGAGGCTTCTATGATCAATTTGTATGTTCATTAGTGGATTTCGCATAACCAAGACCGTTCCTCTCATTGATTTCCTATTCATTACATTCATTGTTCTTGTTTAGCTCATTAGACATTCATTGACCGCAAAAAACCCCCATTGTTACTTAGGTTATTACTTCCCTAGAATAATTCTATTTAGGATTCCAATTATTAGGTCCCTTCTCCCTGTGGATTCGAACTCGACTTCCCT